TTCACTGTGTTATTTTCCTTCTCATATTTTTGAGAATAATTTGCTTCCTTGAGATGTTTAAAGTAAACTTATTCTTTCAGTAATCAAAACTATAATTACTTATCAAAAGTAAATGTTCTATTTCCTTAAAATTGCATTAATGATATTCCTGGAGAGGTTTGTGTATTGAAATCACTACTGAACTTCTCAGTTCCTCGGGCCATGTGGGATTTTTCAAAGGTCCACATGTTCCAGCTGTTGTGGGAGCCATCCCATAAAGAGCTTTCAACACTCTGCTATCATCTGCCATAGTGCTAAGATATTTGAGTGCTTGCAACCCCACACTAAACACTACTGCTAGCTTGGTGCATTGAAAACCAAGAGACAAAGCTGAGGGATTTTAAAATTTATAACAATATAGAGTTGTTAAATGAACTTTTTAAAAAATTTTTTTAGTTATAGTTGAATAGAATACCTCTATTTTATTATTTATTTGTTTTTTATGTGGTGCTGAGGATTGAACCTAGTGCCTCACATAGGCCAGACAATAGCTCTACTACCGAGCTACAACCGGAGCTATATAAATCTAGCTTATCTACAAGTATGTGATTATGTCAGAGAAGATAACTACTGAATTCCATAGTTCACAATGATTTTGAAAATAGAGACTCATATATTATTTACAGGCAGCATTTTTCAAATTTAATGCAACCTGTTTTCTTTTTCCTCCTTTTCTCATTGTACCATCATCTTTGTACAATTTCTATCACTTTACAATTCATGATACCATTGTAAATGTGCTTACGTTTATATTTTTAAAGATGAAAGAACTGATAAATAATATAGTAAAAAAACAATAAATCTATGTTGTTTTATACTTACAGTGTTTTCAAGGAATGAAGAGTTTAATAGCCATTTACTAGAATTTTAGACTATTTGAAGGATTCTGTGTAAGATATTTTTGTTATTTACTTTCCTCAATTCATATTCTCCATATTACTATCATAATTTATTATTGGAAATAATGAAACCTGTAATGTCACCACAGTTTCACTGTGTATATGCAGAGATCTTTTTGACCTGTTTCGTCCTCTTCTGTCTTCCTGAGAGTGCTTAGAGAATGATCAGGCTACGTTGACATCTCCATGACCCTCCTTCAACTGTGTGTTCTCATAAATCTCCCAGACAAGACCACATTAAAAAAAAATAGGTAGAATAGAATTGTGATCAGATTTTTTATATCATGTACTGTCCTAGAATTGTCAATATTATATATTACTTTAGCATTTTCATAAATCAGATTGAATTTGCAGATAAGAATAATTTTGAGTTTTTTAAACCATATGTGATATCTTTTTTGAGTCTAAAAAATGCAAATGTATGATACAAAACATGGTGCTAAAAAAATTTATGGAAAGCATCATTAGGATCAGTTTTATATGAATCCAGTGGAATGTATTACATAATAATTTAAGCAAAAGCATTTAACACTTTTCTCAGTGTTGAAACACAGCAGCCCCCTCTCCCCTCGTTTTATTCCAAGATCTGGTTATCAGCAAGGTGACAAATTTTAACTCTTAGAGTAGTCTGCCTTTCAGTTTCACTGATCTATGTATGCACATTGGCTGGTATATCTGTTTCCATTTTTCTTCATCTGCCAGAGGTGATCTAGTTTAAATTATATGCAAGTCTAGATCCCTCTCAGAATATTTTTAGTCTCTTATGAACTCTAGCCCAGCCTTTCAATGCCTGCTAAATGGGCAAAGAGCTGTGATATGCACTCTGGAAAAAATAAACACCCTTCAAGAAGGCCAAAACACTGTGACCAATTGAAGTTTGACAGCTTTTACCTTGGATTTTTTCCACGAATGGCATAACATTGTTAAATCCTTAAAGCCAGAAGTCATGCAAGTTTTCACATGGTCTATTTTTTCTCCTTTTTAAAGTTTTAGAATACATCTTCCTACAAAATTCCAATTTATTTAATGACAGTCTTAGCATGTGAATACATTTTGAATTATTGAGGCTTATTTTTTCCAAGCCTATATTTAAAACATTTCAATTTAAAAGAATTTGATTTAAATTTTGATATTATTTAAAAAAATCTTAGGGACTGAATTTTTGGTGCATCTTGATCTCCTAAAAAAAGCATATATTCTCAAAATAAATCTAAATAAAAACTGCTGAAGGATGAAGAGAATTTTTGATCAGATTTCTAGAATAAACTATTATTAGTAATATTAATGTAAAGATATATGTAATATTGTGTTTGTGTTACTATAGTTGACCTTCATTAAATCCTTATGCTTTCTGCTATTGCTTCATTCAACCCTTAAAAAATGTCTTATAGGTAAAAAGTATTGCATTCTCATCTTGGAAATGAAGGAGTTGAGATTCAGAGCATATCTGCAATTTCCCTCAAAATCCTTTGTAAATCCTGCTTCTGTTAACTGTAGAAAATCATTGAGGGATAAAAGGATCAACTTACTCAACCCTGTTGCTTTACAATCACTAATAGAAAGGTTTCTAATTTTAACTTAGTATTTTCTACATGATTTTGTTAACTTTAAAGTGTTTGCTGTGACTATCATCTATCTGATTTTCAGGAATTCAGAGAGATGATTATACTCTTGTCCATATCATCTTCCATGACTACAAGAACAGCCTCTCGCTGCTTTTGTTTTAAGTTAATGAAAATAATAAAAGACAATGACAATATTTCTTTCTCTTCTTTCATGGTTATCTTTCACATTTAATATATATAGAATGAGTGGAACAAAATGACAGAATTTCAGAGTCTAATTTCCCGTCTTTCAGACAAACTTGACTTTCAAAAGAATGTTTGACTTTAATGTGGACACTTTCAGCAGGAAAAAAAAACATGGAGTGTTATAAGGAAATCATATTTCTTAATTACAAGGAAATAGAGTACCCCAAATTATTGATTTTTCAAATGAAAATTGCTAAATTTTCTGAAATGTCTGCTTCAACCTAGCTAATTATAGAGAATGTTTACTTATTTTTTTTTATTCTGAAACATGACTATGCCCCTTTTGTCCCTTTTAAATTGTAATCTCTTGCTAAAAATAAGTTATTATTTTTTTTTTCTGGATGTGCAACCTCAAATTCTGCCTCCAGCACTTCCACCCTGTCTCTATCGCAAGTACTAATAGGACACATATCTTTGAACTGCTTTGATGACAAGACTTTACTATCTGACATTAGTACTGTGGGAACCAGACCATAATATTACTATGACAAAAAGAAAATTCCAACTTTTTTGGTTTATTTAATTCCACATGCTTTGTGCTAGAGTAGACCTAATTCACTTGCATTAATTCCAATGACTGTTAGGCCAGTGATTGATTTTCAGTTGTGCCCTGATTTGTTCACCTAAGACATAACTTTTGGAATAGTGGTGTAAGGCTGGAGAATGTACCAGCAGGACCTCAACACCTGAACACCTGGCTGGAGAGTGGAGTGTCTGGAGTTCCTGTAGCCGAACCTGCAGTGCTGGGACCAGCAGTCGAGAGCGCACATGTCCTGGGTAAATTCCAAGTTCTTGGATTGGGGGAGGGTGGCTTTTTTTTTTCTTCCATATTGAAATGTAGAGTTTTTTTGTTTGTTTGTTTGTTTGTTTACCAATAAACCATGTAGAAAAGCAAACAGAACCCCTCAAACACTATGTCACTGTAGAAAACTTAGAAAAGTTCCTCGAAATATTTTAGGTAAAGCTTCCTTTATTAAAAAGAAAATAAAGACCCAGCCCTTTTGAAAATAATTAATGAAAGCTACAAAAGAAGATTTTTGTTGAGTAAATCAAATAATATATGTTTCAAAGTTAAATGAACATTTAAGGAAACTATAGAAGTACAGAAAGATGATAAGAAAGAAAGGCAGGAAATGAGAGCAAAATTAATGATGATATAAGCTAAAACTAATGAAAAACAAAAACATGTTGAGCACATGTGCAGACAAGGATTATTAAAGATCCACTTGCTCAATGCCATCACTCCTAGAGAGGTCCCAGGAAACTGTGAGAAGGACATTTCAGCCTGTTAGCTTTGACTGTTTCAGTGTGGAGCCTGGTGGCACAATTCAGTCACCAGCAGTTTTAAATAATTTATATGAAAACAAGTGCTTAGTGATTCTAAGAGCCAAAATCCCTCATGGGAATTATAGGCATTCTCTTTTACCACTAACTTCTGCCCCTTATTCCTCTATTTTAATTTTAAAAATAAAATGTGCATTTCCTATTACTATCAAGCACTTAATGTGTCCAAGCTTTCAAAAATAGATTTTAATATGAGGTGTTATATGTTTTTAATATAATGGCTTATAATTTTTTAAGTTGATAGTTATCACAAAAAAAGGTAAAATTGATTATTTGTACTGTCTTTTCTAGGCTAGGTTCTGAAGCAAGGGATTGTAATGGTCCCAGAAAACAGTACAGAATATGTGAGAATCCACCTTGTCCTGCAGGTTTGCCTGGATTCAGAGACTGGCAATGTCAGGCCTATAGTGTTAGAACTTCATACCCAAAGCATGTTCTTCAGTGGCAAGCTGTTCTGGATGAAGGTATGATCAACCACATCTCTAACATCTTAAGTTTACTTCTAGGCTTGCAGAGTGTTCTACAATAGTACAGTTATAGATTATCTTCTAGATATTTGACTACTTTACTTTTTCTATCTTTATTGTATATAATGACAAAAAACACTGACAACAATATATTTTTAAAATATAGTGCAATGTTACTGCATATCTGTTAAAACAACTAAAGTAAAAAAAAATAATAAGTTTAACACCAAATTCTGGGTGAAGATGAGGACAACCTGGATCTCTCAGACATTGCTGGTAGAAATGTAAAATGCTGAAGCCACTTTGGACAAACATTTTGGCAGTTTATTAAATAACTCAACCTATTTTTAACATTACACAGAAATTGTATTCCTGAGTAACAGAATATTATTCAGCAATTATAAAGAACTAACTATTGGCACATGCAACAATTGGAGAGACCATAGGCAATATGGTGGGTGAGAAATGCCAATGTCAGAAAAATACATTATCTCATTCCATTGAGATAATATTTTTTAAATGACAAAATTAGAGAGAAGTAAAACAAATTAGTGGTTGTGAGGGATTAGGGCTGGTGATGGGGAAAAGGATGGGTATGACTATAAAGGGGGAGCATGAAGAATACCTTTGTGCTGATGGAATAGTTCAATAACTTGGTTATGGTAGTGGTGACACAAATCTATGTATGTGATAAAATGGGATAAAATTAGACACACAAATATACCAACGCCAGTTCCTGGGTTTGCTACTATAGTCCAATAATCAGTGAGGAAACTAATTGAAAACTATATAGGACCTATCTATGCTGTTGTTGTAAATTTCTGTAAATCTTTAATCATTCTACTCTCAAATTCTATGAGGTCAATTTTTCTCTGAGATTTCACAAATGAGTGAGATAATGTGGTGTTTGTCTTTTTGTACCTGGCTTATTTCACTTAATATAATGATCTCAAGTTTCATCCATGTTGTTGCAATGACAGCATTTCATTCCTTTTATGACTAAATAATATTCCACTGTGTATATGGACCACATTTTCTTTTTCCACTCATCAGCTGATGGACACTTAGGTTGTTTCCATCGCTTGGCTATCATGAATAGTGCTGCAATGAACATCGGAGTGCAGATGTTTCTTAGACATGCTGATTTCTTTTCCCTTGGATATATTCCCAGAAGTGGGGCTACTAGATCATATGGTAGTTCTATTTTTACTTTTTGATGAAGCTTGATACTACTTTCCAGAATGGTTGTTCTGCTATACATTTACACCAATAGACTTCTCTGGTGTACACATCCTCACCAGCACTTGCTCTTTGGTTTCTTTGGTAATAACCATTCTAACTTGAGGTAGGTGATATTTCACTGTGGTTGTGTTGGCATTTTACAGGTTATCATCTCTAATACATTTGTGATTCTGATCAATTAAGCACATACCTTTGTGTGATGAATAATATAGACAACAATAACTAGTCTTCATGTGTTATAACACCGTAGAAGACAATGACGTATGCAGTTCTTTTTAAAAGTCTCAATTTTTAATAATACACGACACCTCAGAATACAAGTGGTTATATCTGTTCTTCTTATGTAATGCATGAATGTATGACTAGGAGAATTGAATGTGGAATATCAATGAAATAGTGAACATTGAAAGAAAAGAGATGTGTGGTTTTAACATTCAGGTATTTTACATACTCTATGTTTACTGAAATTTGGCTCAAATCCATCTCTAATGCATATCTTGGAAAGAGTTGGTCTCTTAAATCAAGACAGAGTCTGCCTGCCAAGTACTGGCACATTACATGGATCACTACAATGTCACTGTCTCGAGGGTATACGCCAGGAAGGAAGATTGGTATCAAATGTTCAAGTCATCTGTAGAACTAAATTAAGCAGAGGGTATTGACAATATGTTATAAAAGGAAAAATACATAGATATTTTATCTGACTTCTTGTTTGGAATGTGAATGGAATTCTCTAGACCACTAATTCCTTTCAACATTATTCATATATCAGGGTTATTCCTCTCTTCAATGAAAACTCCAAAAAGGGAATTACATATACCACTTTTTAAAGGGTTGCAATTATAGCAGCTGTTTTTAAGTCCAAAGATATGACATAGTAAGCAGTCATTGAATAAACATAACCTACTTTGAGGTGTGAGAGCACACTGAAATGCTTTATTGCGGCTTATAATGGCATCTTAAAGGAAAATTTCAAAACCATGCACATTAGAGGCCATGTTCCAACTCCTCAAAATTGTTCAGAGCAGTATTCAGAAGCCACATGTGAAAACTGTTTGAAATGTTCAATCCTGAAGGCTCATTTAACTGTCTGTCTTCTCTTTGCAAAGTGATACCCTGTTCCATGCCTCTGGCTGTTACTTGGTATTTATAGAATCCCATCAGCATACGTGGAACCTTACTGAAGACATAAGGGAAGATCAGTGTCAGAGACTGTAAACTATTTTCCATTCTATTTATACAAGCTTAATAAACAGTAAAGGGCCTAATTGGTGTCAAGCCAATAGAGTAGTAATGTAGCATGGAAATTGCTCTGAAGTTTCAGATTTGGATAATCGTATTACTGGTGTTACCGAATACAGCTACTCTATAGGAGGCTTAGAAATAGAAAGGACACCTTAAAATATTTTGCCACTCTGAGCTTAAGAGGCAAGTGTTTAGCCATCACTCGATAAGGCAGTGATGAAGACTACTAGCTATTTAGGAATTCCTCATCCTGAAAAACAGTGGTTTTCAATGTAGGTATCACATATGTTGGCATGATTTTTTGAGTAAGCAAATGGGTCTGAGTCTTAGCTAGCACATTTGCAATTGTGCATCAAGATAGAAGTTCCCATGGAGATGTATTGTATTTCTAAACATCCTACTAATGGAAATGTTAATGATATTGTTCATCTTGGTTGTTCTTTCTCCATTTTGTAGTTTTTCAATTAGAAAATGTTGTATGCATAGAAATAAAAGTTAGAACATTGGAATTTAGAAATAAAGCACCAATAAAGATTTCATGCATAAGCAAATATTAACCAGGATGTAAAAGTAGGTAGAATTCTGGTATGTTCTTAGAATAACAAGTAGATCATTGCAAATTTATGAGTAAAAACGAGGGGTGTGCAAAACATTTGTCAGGGAGAATAATTGATGTGTTTATGGTAGAGATTTTGTGCCATTAAATAATGAATGATACATTCTGAAAGTGATTTAAAGTCAGATTTCCTAAGAAGAGTAATATATATATTTTATAAGCATCTCATTTAATATAATCATCTACTAGAAACCTACTTAATATTATATTACTCAATTGGAATTGGATTGTATATTTTACCCAGAAGTCATTGTGAAAAATAAAATTTCTGATAAAAATATCTATGTAACCACTTGTTCTCATTTCTTTTTATGCACTCTGTAGAAAAACCATGTGCCTTGTTTTGCTCTCCTGTTGGAAAAGAACAGCCTATTCTTCTATCAGAAAAAGTGATGGATGGCACTGCTTGTGGATATCAGGGTTTAGATATATGTGCAAATGGCAGATGTCAGGTAAGCTATTCTAAAAGAGAGAATTTATATGTTGAGGTACAATTGTGAGACCATTGAGAATCTTCAATGTATGGTGGAAAAATTTTGGACTAAGATGTGGAAGATACCGGTATAGCTCTGATGTGACTTGGACCTTAAGCAAGTCTGATCTACTTTGGAACTCCATTTCCTCCTCTGTGCAGTGAAGATTTTGAGCTAGTAATCCAGAAAATATTTTACTAGGTGAAAGAGTTTGAGATTTGATTGTTTAATGTATACATACAGGTGTAAAATTGGAACACTTTCATGTCACAAATTTGGAACATTCTGTCCAACATTCTAGACCAGAAATTCAAGCAATTCAGTTCTCCATGTCCCATGTCAGTGTCTACAACTGGCCAGGAGGCAGAAACCTATAAAATCAGTCTCAGTAGTCATATTCGAGTATTTATCAACATACTTGAATCAGCTGATTTTTAAATACATGTGCAACTTTCTTGTAATATATAAACATTTTATTTGCTTTTCTTTTCCTTCTAATAAATATTCCCATTTGCATTTATGTCTCTTCTTCATCTATGTTTAGGAAAATAGAATTTCTGTTAAAGTGAGTAGGGAGAGCATTGTGGAAAGATCAAAGGCCAGACATAGAGTTTACTAGTATTAATGCTTAAATTGTCTCAGGTTGGCTTTCCCTGGAAGCTTAACACAGGAAATTTAGTCATCATGGGTGTTAGGGGGCACTGGATTGGGCATAAGGAGAAATGCTAATCCTATGGGAAGATCTTAGGCTAGAATAGCTTTTCAGCATTGTCACCATTTGGAGTGAGAAAAACAGACTTTTTGCCCCTTGTATCTACCTGTGTTTGGGGATATCACCTTGGGAAAAGCAGTTTTCTTTTTGATTTTTTAAATTTTTTGGTAACAGGAATGGAACCTAGAAGTATTTTACCACTGAGCCACATCCCCAGCCCTTTTTATTGTTTATTTTGAGATAGGTTCTCATTAAGTTGTTTAGGGCTAAGCTGCTGAGGATGACCTTGAACTTGTGATCCTCCTTCCTCAGCTTCCCAAGCCACTGGGATTGCAGATATATGCCACCGTGCTCTGCTAAAAGCAGTTTTCTTTATGTCAGGAAATTTCAGATAAACTTCTCTGAAATAGGATAGCAATGCTTGAACAATGAAAGAGGTCACTGAGTGGAGCAGCACTGAATCCATGAGAGCCTCAAGGAAGCTGTGTTCCTGGGCAAAAAACATGTAATGTAGATGTATGTACTAATCTGTGAAATGGGATTATTAGACCATTGGGCATTAACTTGTGTTATACACTCCTGTGAGTCTTGGGTGAAAATGATTTTTTTTGCCCCCCAGAAAAACGCACTCCTGAAGACCTACACACTAAAATTTGAAAATAGTTACAACTATGGGGTGGATCCATCTGTGGTCCAATAGAGGACTTCTGGGTAGGGAGTTGGGAATATCACACAAATTAAATGCTTTCGCAGCTCCAAGATTCTGTGTTTTGCTAGCATGTTATAAAGTTTAAAGCTTTGAACCATGTAATACCATTGGCATAAGAAGCAGTCTTAAGATTACATATTAATTTCTTTTATTTTTAACTGAATATGGCAGCAACCCTAACTGTAATTTCTCATTTACCTATTAAAAAAAATCATTGTAGGTAATTGACTGATACATACTTTCCTTTCAGAACTATGTGTTGTATAGTTAAAATTTTAACTTTATTTCATCATTATGTATAAATATGTCAGATTAAGGTATTTCTTAAGTAAATTTATTTTTCAAAAAAATTATTTTTCTAATTGTATATGCCAAATACAATAATCTTAATTGCTTATGGTTTTCACTTAACAGTGTTAAATAAGCCAGATCTTTTAGAGTCCTTGGCTAGACATTAAAATTAGAGCAACAACAACAAATATTCCACACAAATGCCATGTGAGCCTGATGCTATAATTAAATTAGAATTCTCTGAAATGGATCGTGACTCTAACAACATTAGAATACTTCAAGATTCTGGCATTTTAATTAAAATGTTTCATTCACTCTTTTGATATAATTAAAAACATGCCTTCTTTTTCTGACATTCCTCTGTAAAGTGGGAGTGTTTTGTTTTTTAACAAAATATATAGTACCAAAGCTGACTATGGAATTCTAAACTTGGCAAATGTAGGTAATTGAAATCAACTTTCTGCAGGTGACCTGTCTGGTTCTGTGAAGTTTGTGCTCTTGAAAGGATAAGGAAGGCTAGGCCCTCTACTATCTTACTTTCCCTTCTCCAGCATGCCATTGATACTCCAGTTTGCCTTCTCAAAGTAGTTCACCCCTAGTTTTCAGATTTACTTGAGCATATTTTGTTAAGTATGGACACTTGAGTCTACTTATGATACTTGACACTATAAAATAAAATTAAAAAAATCATTAACTTTCATTTTTAAAATTTGTTACTATTGACTCTAGTTTATGCCTACCTTAAGTTTACAGACTTTATAATATCCTAGACACAGAGTAGAAAAAACTAAGAAACAAAAGTACCAGTCTTATTCACTCATTTAACTACTATTTATTGTTATCTTACTATTTGCCAAGAAACAAACTGGGTATCATAGAGAGAGTAATAAAGTCAGTTTTATTACCCCCCCAAAAAATTATTTATACATGAAGGAGAGATTTCTTTTCTTACCCAGAACTCCTGAATTTTTTTTTTTTTTTTACTACTCCTGCTTAGTGTCCCCTTCATCTGTTTGCAAATTTCCTGAGGTAGCTTCTTATTTCATTCAGTCTCTATTTCCCCTTGAATAAGCTTTGACTGTCTGATTAGAGTTCTCCACCGGTACACTGTTTTATATCCTTTGATCCTGATAGACACTCTGATAGAAGGAAGGGATGTTATAGTGTTCAGCTTTCATGTTTTTTTTTTTTTTTTTGCTGCCTTGGGATATTCATCCTGCAGCTGGACTTTATAATAATCTGCTTCCTTTTCCATCCCAATGTCACCAAAACCAATCACAGATAAGGACCTTGCTTTTAATTATTTATTTAATATTTTAATATTTCCTGTAAAATAATTGGATCTCGTCATAGTCATAAATGGGTAATTATCAGTCCATCTTCCAAATCTTGTTTGATTAGGAGGAATTGTCTAGTCCTACCATTTATTTCTGACAGTATTGACACACTAAATTCTACCTTTTGAGTATGCATAACTTGGAAAAATATTATCCTGTATTTTGCACATCGATGATTTGCTCTCAGAATACTCTGATTGGCAGAATTATTCTGGAAGAAGTTAAAAATTAATTCCCTAGCTATTTGTATTTCCTGATATCAGCTATGACTTATGAGAAGAATTTGTATTCATGTGCTCAACACTAAGGAAGATGTACATAGAAGTTTATTCATGATCTAGAGAAGAAATAAATGTTTCTCTTCAGTTTTCCATGGAGTTAATATTTAACATGTGGCATTTGCCTTCACCTTAGAAGTGAAGCCATGCATGTAGTGAAGAATCTCTGTTCTATGTTTAGAATGAATTAATCACATTATATAAATGTGATTCCTTTGGGATTTATGTCAATTTCATTTTTCTCAATAATATTTTCCAAATTATTTTAGAATATAATTTAATACTTAGTATAACAAAACACTTTCATCCCTATTCTTCTATTTGGTAATTTTATAGATTATATTATTTGATATGAACTTGCTGTATGAGTTTGTACCAGATAATATAGCATTTAATCTAGTTTGTCTATTAAATATGTCTGGTTTGCAGAGACTAGGTAGTAGTTAAACAAAAAAGAAAAGAAAATATTTGGAACTTATGATGTGCTCCCATTCTCTTACAGAAAGTCGGTTGTGATGGTTTATTAGGGTCTCTTGCAAGGGAAGATCATTGTGGTGTCTGCAACGGCAATGGAAAATCATGCAAAATCATTAAAGGGGATTTTAATCATACCAGAGGAGCAGGTAACTATTCTTTATTTTCTCATAATTAATAAGCCCTTCATTCTTTGGGGACAAAAATTAGATTGAACTTGACTTAGAAACCACAGCTCTGATTCTATTGAAGTCATCTGTAATGGGTAGTAAATGAGTTTTTGTGCTGATACACAATATACGTAATATGAGCCAAAAATTTAAACAAGCTTATTTCCCAATATTGAAAATATGAAGTCATCTGTTGTGCATTTAATAAGTTAGGGGAGCAAGGGAATAATCTAATTTGCATTGGCTAATGTTATCAGGTTTCTAAAGATCTTATTCTCCAATGCAAAGCATATATAACAGAAAATAATGATTTGTAACAGCCTGAAGCTACCATTGAGAATATTAGACTTCAGGTTTTCAGCTTTCCCTTTTCCTTATTTTTGGTTAATGTTTTTACTATAACTGCATAGCATTGTGGAAACTGAAACCTGGAGTGAGGGGACCAGAAGATGTGGGAAATATTCCAGATATATTAATGTCAGGAATTATTCTCTCTTGTTTCCTCATCTAATACCCAGGGGATATAGGGTTGAAATAACTGTGATCTATGTAGTGTGAATCCAAGCTTTTGGGTTCTCATGCTTACTGAGAGTAAGCAAGCATTTTGTATGTTTCTGTTCATCTCTTGCTGGACATCTCTTGCACGAACATTAACCGCTCTGCTTTCATCATCAGTAATATGCTTCTATCACATACATCAACATTCCTATTTTAAATTGTTTTCAAAAAGAACATCTAAAACCCTGAGACTAAGATATGCTAGTTATAAAGAACAAACCATTTGTACTTGAATAATAAAGATAACTGAATTCATTCTAGATAAGAGTTCTTAAAAAAAATTCAGACACAGCCTCTTGGATGTTAAGTGTAACATTTTCCTATGCTTATTAGAAATAAAAGATAAGAGAGCCTGAAGAACTTGACATCTAAAAATAACTAAGGGTAAATTACAGATCCAAATCTCAAATCTTTGAAGCTGTGTAAAAGGTGATAAATCCCACACGCCAAAACCTGCCAGCACTCTTTTAGAAAACACATACAGCTGAAACAGGCTTTCAGAGTTTCGTCTAAGAAATGTAATTATAATAAGCTATAGTTGTAATGAGAGAAGATTTTTATAATACGGAGCTGGAATAAAAATTGAAATGAAAATGTAAAAGTACTAGAATGTAAAGATACTAGAGAAAATGTAGAGGTACTAGAATTTTAGGAGCATTTTTGTTTATTTAATATGCATGGAAACAAGTTACTCAAGAATACTGATGATGCACATTAACCTCTGGCAACTTTATTTATTTGTAGTAATACTTTACTATTAACTATACATAAAACCCCCAGAAATACCATTAAAAATTTAGTGATGTTTTTCATTCTGACTGCAGAAAAGTGAATACTTTTTCCCTCAGTTATTTATTTCAAACCCCCTTTGATTTTATTCTATATTAATATCTACTTTTGTTTGTTTGCTCACTGTAGGAAACTTATATTAACAATATTTATTATTTTAAACTCAATGAGTAAAAATATAATGACCATTGCTGTCAGTAGCATATTGCCTGTTACCAGCAATTTATTAATATCTATAAATTTAAACAAATTTAGAAATTTAAGTTAAAAAAAAATTGTATGAGTCCTTAATTCTATCACAGGCTTCGTCTACTTGTGACTAGGAATGTTGTATTTATTACTCTTGGGTGTATCTTATCCCGATAGTTTATGGACTTCCTAGAATTTCTTGAAGGACATGAGGGTTATTTTGATCCAGTTGGCCACGCACACTGTGTATATTGTGTGAGTGACACACAAGCAGACACATGTGGGTGTTCTTAGTCCCTGTGCTCTATTTAGAGTTTGCTAAATCATTTTTGTTGGAATTACAAAATAAACTTAAGAAATGTTTTTTTTTCCCTTGGTACATTTATTATGTCTTTCATTGTCACTTGTCTAGCCAAGCAATCATTTCCTAAAGCAATGAAAGGTAAATTGTATATTTGAGCCATTGTGAAATTATATATTTATCAGTATATACTGAGAAGAAAATGGAAATAAAATGTGTTATTCTTAGTATAAAAACAAAGATACTCTCTCTTTTTTTTTTCTTTTTTTTTTAAATATTTATTTATTTATTTATTTTAGTTCTCCGTGGACACAACATCTTTGTTGGTATGTGGTGCTGAGGATCGAACCCGGGTCGCATGCATGCCAGGCAAGCGCGCTACCGCTTGAGCCACATCCCCAGCCCAAAGATACTCTCTTACATTAGGAGAATATGCTCCTAGATTTTTTTGTTTGGTCAATTGCCACAGCAATGGGGAGTCAGTCTTATGTATTCTACTTCATGAAATAATAGCAATGGCTCATAGCAGAAAGAGAATAATGAAATTATACATATCTGAGTTCAAAACTTTGATGAACTAAATACTGACAATACAGTGTTGAAAAGCATATTTTTTAGCTTTATTTTCTCATCAATTAATAGAGAAATGAAATGTAGGTTGAGTATCACTTAACTAAAAATGTTTAGTACCAAAAGCAATTCAAGAATCACTTACTGGAATTTTGGAATATTTTCATAGACTTTACCAGTTGAGTATCCCTAATTTAAAAATCCAAAATTTGGAATGCTTTAAATTCATAACTTTTTGAGTTTTGTACTCATAGATTTGGATTTGGAGCATTTCGAATTAGTGATGTTTAACCTGTATCATTATAGTTAAATGTAAATTAACTGTGAGGGCAAATAGCATACAGCAGTTGATCAAAATGTAAAATTCATGACTTCATTATCAGTGCCATGAAGATGATGTTTGGTACTGGCATTTTAAGACTGGTTATTAAGTATGAGATCTCAGGTTTTAAAATAAGGTGTTTCTGTGTGAAAAGAAAACTCTCAAACATAATAATCAAATTCATGTCATTGATGTCACTAGCTTCATGTTCCAGCTTCCAAGCTAGATAGTAGCCACTCTTACATTCACACATTAAAAAACACATTCTCAATTGGGCCAAATGGCTTATTTACTGGGAAATATCAAATCTCTAGCCACTGTCTTTCTCTCTTCATATGTTTTTGCTTAATATTTTACTCCCTCTCTTCTTTATAGTCAGTATAACTAAGATAATACATTCTTTTTTATTTATTTTTATGTGTTCTGATTAGTTATACATGACAGTAGAATGTATTTATGCATTTGATAAATCATACATAAATGGAGTGTACTTTCTCACTTTTCTCATTGTTCATGTTGTAGAATCACATCACCCAGGTAGTCATATATGTACATAATATCTCTTTTATTCTATTACCCTTCCTACACCCATACCCTCTCCCCTTACTTCACTCCCCTATATCTAATCTAAAATAACTCTATTCTTAGAGTTGTATTGTAACTGTATTGCCATCCCCCACCTTATTGTCAATTATCATCAGCATATCAGAGAAAACATTCAGCCTTTAGTTTTTTTTTAGGATTTGCTTATTTCGCTTAGCATGATATTCTCCAAATCCATCCATTTACCAACAAATACCATAATTTCATTCTTCTTTATATGTATACCACATGTTCTTTATCCACTCATCAGATAATAAATTCTAATTGAATGACAGCATTGGTTTAGATAAAAATATAAACAGATATAACTACTTCTCTAATGGAAAAATATAACTAAACTTATGGCTTAACTCAAACAGCAATTTACATATACACTTCTGCTTTGTCAGTCTACTCTTCCATTTTAACATCCTGAAATTCAATATCTTCTCCATATACTTTACTAAATTTATATGCCCAAAGATTAATAGTCACCTACTAATTATGACATTTAGCAGACTCTCTATCCTTAGTCACCTTTTTCTGATGTAACCAGACCTTTTGACAAAGTTGAGCCCCAACTCTACTTAAGATAACTCACCCATAGGATTCCACCTACACCAAAGTAGAACAGATCTTCTCCTTCTCATTATATTTCTTCTTAGTCTTGTGGTCTTATTTATTTTCAATCTCTTCATTATAAACTATGACTCTTACTGAGGTAGATTCCTTGACTTCTCTCTCAATTTCCTCCATGGGTAATTTAAACCTTTTCTTAAATTACCTTTTCTGCAGAGATGTCTTACAAAGATATATCAACAGTTGACTTTTCTTTGAAATTCCAGATCTTCCAGAGTTACTGCTGGATGTTTTTATTAAGCATTGTGCCATTGTGTTTGATATATATTGAAAAACTGAACTTAACAAATTATTAACCACACCAGGTAATTCTTCTCTTGATTTACATGTTCCTGTAAATGATGGCCCCATTCTCACATCAGTTATAATAAAGAGCTGTGTCCAATGTTTATTTCTGCACTTTCTATCAGTTATCAAGGTCAGAATAGTTTTTCTCTTCACAGTATCTTCTGGATTTTCTACCTTAGCTTCTACCACTCCTGCATTTTAACATTAGCTTCCTGGCATGGCCATCCACACCTGTATGCCTGTCAATCCTGTGTAGTACTATTAGATGAAGCCTCTACAAGCCAGATCAATTACTAAGTTTCTTATAAAATTTAGTCCCTCTAAATTGATGAATTTATTGTCTTGGACATCCATTGACCATTTAATAGAGACAATCTCTTGCTTCTTCTCATTCCATCAGAATTATTTTATTTAGGGGACTGGGGTTGTGGCTCAAGGGTAGAGCGCTTTCCCAGCACATGTGAAGCACTAGGTTCAATTCTCAGCACCACATAAATAAATAAAATAAAGGTATTTTGTCCATCTACAACCTGTGTGTGTGTGTGTGTGTTTTAAATGAATTATTTTACTCAGGTGTTACTAAAACCACTATCTCATATCTTCTTAATATAGAGAAACTCATCATTTTTCTATATCTGTCCACATCTTATGCTTTCTTCAAAGGCAGGTCATCTATTTATACTTCTTTGTGAAACTTTCCTTGATTTGTATGGATCGTTCTCTCTCCTGGATCACAGTGATTTTGGCTAATGCCTATTTTTTTTAATGTGAGTAGTATATGTAACTATTTAAATGGAACTAAAAAATACCCCACCTCAGTGGGTATAAATAGTAGGGAATGTTTGGGTGGTGTATGATCAGAGACCAGGAGAGTTTTAAAAACCTCGTGTATCATTTTTAGCAGGGGATTAACCATATTGTTTTATATATTAAGATATTTTTTAAGTTTTATTTAACTTATATTTACATAGTTTATTTATGCCTTTTCTTTTTAATTTAATTATAAGCTCATTGAGGGAAGAGGCCCTCTTACCTTACTTGTATGAACAAATATCCACTAACCATTTGTTATTATTTTCATTACTGTCTACTTTGTGCATGTAACAAAATTAAAGTGTGCTTTTATCTTTGGTGCTACTAAAAGTAGTTGCATGTTATGGAAAATGTATGATTCAATGATTAATTAAAATAAGCTGTTCTTGGATGGAAATTGTGATTCTCAAACCATATGCCTCTAATTCCAGCCACTGCCACCAGGTGGGGTATATGCTACCTTCTGTTACATATCAAACAATTAGGCATTTTCAGGAATTTAAATAATTGATAAATAAGGGACAACTTTGGAATAAGTTCCTTGATTTTTTAAAGCCTTAAATCAGACTTTTATCAATACATGCATCTACACAGAAATAATAAAAATTTTTATTTAAATATACTTTAAAATATATTCAACTGAAGGTAGGCACCTGCTGTATCACTATTCTGTACTAAGTAGAATCTTGATTCCTTCTCTTTTTTTGCACATCCTTTTATTTTATTATATTCTTATTTTACTTCAAGCATTACATTTTTAAAGTCTGCTGCAAGTTTTTCCCTGGAAACTCCGAAACTTGCCTTGCTATTAGCTGTCTGACACCTGCAGGTGATGTGAGATGGCTTGGGGAACCTTATGCTTACTTGTCTCCAGCTCCAGATTCAAAACCCTTTGCTAATCTCGCCAGGGAATGTTTGGTCTCTCTTGTCCTATACTTAATTACTCCAGAGACTGGTTCAGGCCAGCTGTATTCTCTCCAGCTGTGTTTCCTTCTTCTCTGTACTTTCTAACTTAAAGGAGTTCCCAGAGCAAAACCTGAAGTCATTTACTCTATTCCACGATTCACTGTGTTTCTAACTAGGCTATCCCATTGGGATTTTTCCCTGCTCACAATTCATAAAGCAAATTGAGCTTTTCTACATAAATTGCAATTGCCTATTTATCCTCAATAGAGCTGTCAGCTCAACATCTTTCCAAGAAACTTCTTCACTTGAAATGATGACAGCTTTCATACATAAGATGTTTTCTTTGCATAAACATTTAAATATCATAGCAATAACCAAAACCAAAGGGGGGAACTCAAGTGAATAAAGAGATTTTATAAGATCTCTGGATTTATTTCATGCTTTATTAATTCTTACAGGTTATGTAGAAGTGTTGGTGATACCTGCTGGAGCAAGAAGAATCAAAGTTGTGGAGGAAAAGCCCGCACATAGCTATTTAGGTAACCTGAGTTACAGACAAAGAGAGGATCCAAGTACGAGCCCCACTCCCTTCCCTGAGAATTCTATGATGACAAGGAAGTCAGTCCATTTCTAGTTCCATGTGTTTGAACCTCCCAGGAAGCACCTCTTGTCACATAGAGCAAGAATTTCTTTCTTTCTCTCCCAGGGGTTTCCCAAGAGCAAAAGCAATCTGGTTGTCTCCATGTTGGGGGAGGGGCAGTGTGGTATAAATTACTTCCACATGTTATCCTGTAATTAAAAAAAAAAAACTCATTGAACAATTTCAATATGTTTTACTTCACATAAATGCTTATACATGTAACATATTTTATTAATATTTATTTCATATCTATAACTGCAAATTGCATTTGCATATATATGTTTATTTATGTAATGATTATTTTGGAATTAGGAAATCTTATGGTTTGAAAAAAATTTATAGTACAAGGATGTGATCTTGTAATGGAAAATGGTTTCTTCTTTTCCTGTACTTCAGCAAACGAAGGACTTATTTTAAAAATGTGCAGTATTGCTTGTTGAAAAGCTGTATTGGCTATTTTCATACTTTAGTTAGTTCAATTAGTGGTTTTTAAGTATACACTGGAAATACTAAGTTTTCAAAATATACTCTCTTATGTATCAAAGTTTTAATCTAATTACATCATGGTTTTTATAGTCATTATATCCACAGAAAAATGGATTGAAGGTGATCAGTTCAGGAAGAAGACTAAAACATCACTCAGAATATAAGCATTGTATTTATATTATCTTTTTAAAGGAAACACATAAAGACCTTTTTTTGGTTTCCTTAAGAAAAATGATGTCCTCATTACTCTTCCTCAAGTAAGGAATAAATGTCCCAATAGGGAAACCTTTTTTTTTTCATAAAAAACAATTCATCTTCCATAATTGTTTTTACTCTGCACTACCTAAAACAGTTAAAACTTAGATGGAAATCTTTTTTCATTAAGGTTTGCTTTCTAGGAGTAAGAAACCTTGAGAAAAAGAGAACAATAAAATAAATTCTTTATTATGTGACACACTCAATCTTTGTTATTGGTGATATATAATTTTTATCTGCTCTACCTAACATGATTTTTAAATGCATTTCAATTGCAAATATATTATGCCAGATTTTCAAATTCTCACTGAAGTTCTAATACCCAATTTTTGAAGATAAGGTACCTTAGATTATTTCAGTTCATTTGTTTAATAGCAGAACATTGACTGTTACACTTGGCTACATTTCCTTTTTTCTAAGCTTGGAATGAAAGCAGATGTCACAAATGGAATTTTATCACTTTTACAAAATTCTACTTTGTACCATGAGTTTTAGTAACCTGAGAAATGTGGCTAAATAAACCGGCTGGTTTTACAAATAGGTCACATCCATGCTTCCTCCAATGCCTCACCTCCCAGCCTCCTCAACCAATCCAGTTTTATGTTTCATCTCCCTAGATATCTACTGGTCAACACATTGCCCTTTTCAAGGTCAGAAAATGCCTTCCTTGTTGACAAATTTAATACTCTTTGTTATTTGACCTGTAAATAGCATCCAACTCTTGACATTTCCTTACTTTGTTAAATGTGTTCCTCTCTTGCTTCTAAGAGTGCAGCTTCGTTTTCTGAGGATGCCACTGACTATTCTCCGATGTTGGACCCATAACTCTTCTTGGTCTACAAATGTTCCCATGTTGTAGGGATCAGGCTTGGACCCTACTTTTTTCTCTTGCATATTCTCTCCCTAAAGAAGCTCATCCAGTTCTATTCTTTTTGTGCTTATTTGATTTAAATTGTGAAATGTATCATAAACATCTAAGAAATATTAAGTCCAAAGTCAAAAGTCTGAATAAAAGATTCAATTTCCACCCAGTTCTGAACTCATTCTTCCTTTAGTTTTCTTCACCATGCTAAATGTCACCATTAGAGTCCTATGACTTGTAACTAGTACCACAAATTTCACAGCTTAAAACAACAAAAATAAGTGTATTTTTCATAGATCTGGAGGTCAGAAATACAAATACTATTTTTCTTGATCAAAATGTGAACTGCCTACAGTCACCTCTGGAGACTCAGGGGACATCATGCCTTGTCTTTTTAGCTTCTGGAGGTGGCCAGCATCACTTCATTGTCTGCCTCCATGTCTCTTTGCCTTCCCTTCTTCCAAGTTCAACTCTGCCTCATTCTCTCCCTCTTAGATAACGTTTGTATTTAGGGCCCTCCTAGATAATCTAGGGTAATCTCCCTGTGTCCTGATCCTTAATCTTTTCTTTTCATACCTTTATTTTATTTATTTTTATGAGGTGCTGAGGATCCAACCCAGTGCCTCACATGTGCTAGCCAAGCTTTTCACCACTGAGCTACAGCCCCAGCCCCACTGATTCTTAATCTTAATATATGTGAAGTCTTTTTCTTTTTTTAATAGGCAACAGAAGGTAGCTATTTTCATTCATTCAGGCTTCTATAACCAAATGCCATAGAGTGGGTAGCTTATTAAAAAAAAGGGGGGGGGGAATTGATTCATTACAGTTCTGGAGGTTGAAAAATCCAAAATCAAGATATTGACAGATCTGGGGTCTAATGAGGGACTGTTTCCAAATTGGCAGATGACACATTTTTTGCTGTGCCATCATATGGTATAAGAGGCTGGCTAACTCTGCAGACCCTGTGTCTGCAGGGTGTCTTTTATAAAAGCACAAATCTCATTTATGATGGTGGAGCCCTCTAGAAAGACTTCATAATAATATTACCATGAGGTTCACAACTTCACCATATGAATGTTATAAAGGGACACAAATATTCAGATCATAGCAGTAGCATTCTAAATAATAAGATGTTGATCCCTCCCTTAATAATCTTATCTTATTGTGGTACAAATATATATATTTCTAACATAAAAGTTATTATCCTACCTAATTTTAAGGGTAAAGTTCCGTGGATTCAGTGGCATTGAATACATTCACATCTCAATCATTTCTGTAGAAATATTAAGGCCTACATATAATTCAAATGATATTTCAAGCAACCCTGAATAATTAAACCAATCTTGCAAAAGAAGAATGAAGTCAGAGGACTCAAAGAATGAAGTCAGAGGACTTCTACAAAGCTAAGGTAGTCCCAACAGTGTGGACGTGTTATAAAGACAGACCTGGTATAAAGACAGGAACAGAAGAGATAGCCAGAAACAAGCTCTTGATTTGTAAAAGAAAAGAATGCCAAGACCACTCAATGGAGAAAAGACAGTCTTTTCATCCAATAATGCTGGAAAAACTGGGTATGCACTTGCAGATAAATACTCATACCATTACCTAATACTATAAACAAAAATATTCCCAGCTCCAGGGCTGTTCTTTGATTTATGATTACTGATTCAATCCCTTTACTAATTATAGGCTTGCTTAGGATTTCCATTTCTTTGTGATTCAGTCTCAGTTTGTTCTGGTATCTGGGAATCCATTTCATCTCACTTTTCCAGTTGTTTTGTTTTTGTTTTTGTTTTTGTTTTTCATGTACCTGTTCGTAGTACCCCTAATGCTTATTTTCCCATCTGTGAAATTAGTTTATAATATTCCCACTTTAATATATGATTTTAGTAATTTCAGTCCTTTCCCTGCTTTTTCTTAGTATAGATAAAAATTTGTAAATTTTATTGATCTTGTTGAAGAATCATCTTTTAGTTTTGTTGATTTTTCTCTATTCTTCTTTCTCATTTAATGCTACTCTAGTCTTGACCAATTCTTTCCTTCTGCTAGTTTTGAATTCATATTCTTCTTCTTTCTTTATTCCTAAAATTGTTTAGTTTAATTTTTAAATTGAGGTCTTTCTCATTTTTAAATCTAAGGGTTAATAAGTACATATTTTCCTCTTGACACTCTTTTTACATGCCTCCATGACTTTCAGTATGTTAAGTTTTCCATTTCATTTGTCTTGAGATATTTTCTATTTTGTCTTGTGATGTTCTTCTTTGATACATTAATTGTTTAAGAATGTGCTGCTTAATTTCTATAAACTTGTGAATATTCTGGTTTTCTTTCTCTTATTGTTTTCTAAGTTTATCCCATTGTGGTAGGAGATATTTTCTTTTAGAAATTTTTTTTAAGTGAGCTATAATTCAACCAACCACATTTACTAATTTTTTATTTTCCTTTTTTTTTCTTTTTTGTACTTGAAATTGAAACTTGGGCCATTTAAGTCACTAGGCAAGTGCTTTACCACTGAATTGTATGTCCAGTCCCTCTTTTTACATGTTATCTTGTTACAAGGTCTTATCAAGCTACCCAGGCAGGCCTTGAACTTGGTCTTCTCCTGCCTCAGCCTCCCCCGTAGCTGAGATCACAAGCATGTGCCACCACACCCAGCCACAGTGACTAATTTCTATCCCATTGTTTTTGCCAAAACCAAGAGGCTATCTTGAGCCCTTTGTTACCACTCTAATGCAATACATCACCAAATCCTGCCAGTGTCAAAAGCTATTATTTTCTCTCCATCTATATTGTGACCTCCAACCAAGTCACTTCTATTATATCGTGCTGTTTATTTCCTTTACACTAGTTATTACTCTCTGAATTTTTATTTATTTATTTATATGCTTGCTTTTATATTGTCTATCTCCATGGCTAATGTTTTTAAGGTATTTTGTTTAGTTCCTTGTTTGCAATAACCAAAACAAAGCCTGGCACATAGGAAATAATATCAACACCTTACATGAATGGTTGATATAGGACAGTGCATTATACCTGTCTATTAAACAAATCTTCAGAATACTTCCACAAAGCAAGCACTAGTAATTTTCCAACTTTTAGAGACCACAGAGACCAGAAAAAAAGAGAGTTTATGTTGCTTTCCCAAGGTCACACACCTAAAAGGCTGTGATCCTGTATTGGAACCCAAGGATTCTGGTCATAGCATCTATGTTCTCAGGGACTGAAACATGCCACTTCATTTGAAAAAAAAAAAATCTTTTTAGCTTAATTATTGCTTTACGTGCAACACTTGTGAT